GAAGCTTGTGATCCTACCACTCTATCATCTTGTTGAATCCCCAGTTAGGCTTTTTACTGTGTGCCCTTGAGCAAGTTTTTTAATTTCTGAACCTCAGATTCATCATCTATAAAGGAGGAATCATAATAGTTCCTACATCACAGGGTTTTTAATGAGAATTTAAGTGAGATGATATCTTTTAAAAATAATATCCTTCATTTAGGGAGATCTTAATAAATACGAAGAATTATGTTACACTTTTAAAATTTGTTGTCTCTTTTATTTTATTTACTTATTTATTTTTTTTTGTTAGTGGAGATTATTACTAAGAAAGTGGTAATAATTTGGGGGATTGAACCCAGAATCTTGTGCCTGCTGAGTACAAGCTCTACCCCCAACTCTGTTGTCTCCTTTCATCCTCACAACAGCTTTATGAAGTAGGAAGAAGTGGTGGTGGTGGCAGTAGCACAGGTGGTAGTGATAGAAGATGGCATTTATTGAGCACTTGCTGTGTCCCAGGTACTTTACATGCTTCAATTTAATCCTGTAAACAATCTTATGACGTTGGTGCTGTAATTGCCATTTTAAAGATGAGGAAAGTTAAGCATAGAGCTGTTAAATAACTTGCCCAAATTCACATAGCTAATGGACAGTGGAGCTGGGTTTAGAATCCAGGCTACACTTCTAGGTACTAGTAATCCTCATTTTTTGTTTTAGATGGGGATGCTTAGATGGATTAAGTAACTCACTAAAACTCAAATACCTTGTAAGTGGCAGAGCTGGAATATGAACCCAGACCTGCCTGATTTCAAAACTTTGTTGTTAATTATCACACTTTACTGCCTCTAGACTGTTAAAAACAGTAAGTGTTTTCTGATGATATTGCAGAGCGGATCAATTGTAATTTAATGTAAGTCACATTGCTCTGCTCATTCACATATTAAAGATGGCATTTTTGCCTCGATTGACTGTAGCACAGGAGTCAGTCAGTCTTTTGACCACTGTCTGACATATGAACTCTACCTTTTGAGTTGATACAGAAGGTGGACACCTTGGGAGTTTTGTGGATCTCTGGCAGAATTCTTGATGTTGCTTGAATTTCCAGTAGTGATGTTAGTGTTAAGGATCCCAGTTCTGGTGATTCAGCAGGAAGACTTGACTACCCAAAATGGCAATAGCTAATGGAAGGCAGATGGTACTGGAGAGAGGACATGGCCATGGGATAAAACGGCATTCTGTTTATCTAGTGAATTCCAGCACCCTCACTCTGTTTATTAACATCCCTCTACCCCTGCTGGTTTGCCCCCCATGTTCTTTCTGTAACTATCTTCCCCTAAATGTCTGACTTCTCTTAACTTCTGCTTACTTGGACCAGGTGTAACTATAGCATTTTAATCTCCTACCTGGTGATGGATGTGTGATATACTATGGCTCTAAAAAGGAGAATTTGCTCAGAAATTGTCCATTACCAGCTAACCAGTAAGATTTAGGACATTTCTCAGTTTTAGATTGTAGTCCCCAAGTTGCTGAACTAGACCACTGAATCTTGACAGAGGAATTATTTTGTATATTTAATTCCCACAAAGGAATGTGAGCCCAGACTGATAATAATTTACTTTATTTTGCAGGAAGGATGCCAATTCTGCACTGCTCAGTAACTATGAGGTAAATAATTTTGAAGTGAAATATTGTATTTTCCTCTCTAATTACTTGCCCTTTGCTTCTGAAGATTATTGAATTGGTTTTGGTTAGAAATGGCTGAATTCATTTGGATTTTCCACTTTAAAATAGGAGAGATGACACCATCTGGTGGACCTTGGCAAAGTCTTAGCTTGGCAAATTATACACAGTAATTCAGGGAAACTGGGAAGCCTTTAGTGTTACTGTAGGCAACCTTCCCCAAATCCCAAAGAATTTAGGTCTTCATTTGGGATGCCTTCATGGGATGGGAGCATCCATTTTGAAACTATTTCTGTTTGCAAAAGTTTTCCATTAAAATACTTATGCATTTTCTTAATTAGCACTCTTTACCTTTTACGCTTTTATAAGTTATTTTGGTCCTCATAATAGCCTCGTAAGTGTTAACACTTTGATTTTGGAAGTGAGAGTTTAGTTGACTTACCATTGTAAACAATTTTGTAGCAACTAACAGATATGGAACTTGAGGGTTGGCGGGTTGGGTTGCTGGGGAAAGAGAGGAAGGAAGGAGAAGGAAAGAGGTTGCTGAGAGGGAGGAGAACATTATTTTTGCTGACCTTCTGTTTGGCCTGGGTCTTGTTTGGTACAAGCAAAACCATCTGGTAGGTTAAGTCCAGGTATAGAAAGAACTGTTCATATGTTCACTGTTTATTTTTCACATGCCAGGGTCGAAACTCAGGAAGACTTACGGGAGAGCTGAGTCTCCCTTGTGTAATACATATGGAAGGTAGTAGAATTAACACAGTGGGCCATATTCCTTTCTTCCTAAAGTTCATCTTAAATGGTTGCTGCTCATAACAGGAAGGAAATGGTTGCTAGCCAAGCCATTGGCTTTTAGGAACCTCTTTGTCCAGTCTGGACTATTTAGTGTTTTATCCATTGGGGAAACATTGCATTAATTGGGTCTCATGCCACTATCACTGAAAGGGATGACAGGCGGGGAGGGAGTTGTATCTAGTAATGTATCTAGTAGTGGTCTGTGATCCTGTACTTTTCTCAATTCTGTGGTATAATCTCTGAAACAGGAAAGAGGTTTCCTCCCCCCATGCTCCTTAGCACTAACACACGTGTGTTTCTTTCTTGTGGGGAAAGTTTACTTCTAAAGTTCTATAGCGTATTTTTCTCTTTTTGGGGGAGGAGGTGCAGGGGAAACCATATTTTATCACTCATCTCATAATTTTTCTTTTCTAGAAATAAATTAGATTTTCGTATTAGAGAAGCAGGCTCTTTTAAAAAAAATCATTTCCATTTGTTTTAGGAAAAAGATATTTTATTGCAACACAGTCGACATACAACATTATGTTAGTTTTGAGTGAACAACATAATGATTTGATATTTGTATATACTGCAAAATGATCACCACAGTAAATCTAGTTAACATCTGTCACCATACATAGTTATAGAATTCTTTTTTTCTTGTGATGAGAACTTTTTAAGATTTACTCTCAACGACTTTCAAATATGCAATACAGTATTATTAACTACATTTGCCATGCTATATGTTATATCCCCATGACTTACTTATTTTATAACTGAAAGTTTGTACCACTGACCACTTTCATCCATTTTGCTCACTCCTTACCCCCTGCCTCTGGGAAACACGTATCTGTTCTCTGTAGCTATAAGCTTGGTTTTTGTTTTTGTTTTCTTAGATTCCACATATGGTTGAGATCATAAGTCTTGACTTATTTCATCTTAGCATTATTCTCTCAACATCTATTCATGTTGTCACAAATGGCAAGATTTCATTCTTTTTTATGGCTGAATAATATTCCTTTGTGTATGTGTACCACATTTTATTTTTTCTTTTTAAAATTTTTTAAATTTTAAATTGAAGTATAGTTGATTTTTTTGCACTTTTTCTTTGTTTTGGGGGGAGGTAGTTAGGTTTGCTTATTAATTTTTTTATTTCTTAATAGAAGTATTGGGACTTGAACCCAGGACGTTATGTATGCTAAGCAGGCACTCTACCACTGACTATACCCTGCCCCCTTGTATACCACATTTTTTTAATCCATTCATCTGTCAGTGGACACTTTAGGTTATTTCCATGTCTTGGCTATTGCTGCAGTGAACATGGGGATGTATATATCCTTTCAAGTTGGTGTTTTTGTTTTCTTTGGATAGGTACCCAGGAGTGGAATTACTGAGTCATGTGATAGTTCTGTTTTTAATTTTTTGAGGAACCTTCATACTTTTCCCATAGTGGCTGGGAACATGCCACCTCCCGTGCACAATGGTTTCCTTTTCTCCACATCACTCTCCCCAATACTACTACTTCTTCTCCTCCTTCTTCTTCTTTTTGGTAATAGCCATTCTAACAGGTGTGAGGTGAAAGTTTCAGTACAGTTCTGATTTGCACTTCCCTGATGATTAGTGATGGTGGCAATCTTTTCATGTACCTGTTGGCCATCTGTATGTCTTCTTTAGGTAAATGTCTGTTCAGATCCTTTACCCATCTTTTAATTGGATTTTGGGGGTTTTTTTGCTTTTGAGTTGTATGAATTTATGTATTTTGGATATTAACCCTTATTGGACACATGATTTGTAAAAATTTTCTTCCATTCAGTAGGTGGCATTTTGTTGATGATTTATTTTGCTGTGCAGCAGTTTTGTACTTTGATGTAGTTCCATTTGGGTTTTTTTGCCTTTGTTTCAAAATCATTGACCTTGGAGTAGATATATTTCTCAAATTTGTTTATGAAAATCTTTTGTATATCTCTTCCTAGGTGTTCCAGTTACTAACTGATCTGAAAGAGCAGCGTAAAGAAAGTGGAAAGAATAAACACAGTTCGGGGCAACAGAACTTGAATACTATCACCTATGAAGTAAGCCTAGGTTTCTGGAGCATCTGCCCGAACTACCATTGAAGGGGATTCGTTTATTTTGCTGATGACTGGCCACCAAATCATGATTACGTATTACCTGATTTGAGTAGCTTTACTACAACCCAGTTTTTATTCTGTTTGTAAAAACAGAGTTTGGCCAGTTGCGAGGGTTAGCCAAGGACAAAGAGGGAATAATCAAAAGTCTGCCCTCACTTCTAATAAAATTGTAAGTCAGGGATCCACAAGACTTAGGTTCAGTAATTCACCAGCAGTCCACACAGAGAAAAGACACAGATTAAAATTAGCCAAGGGAAGAAGCAAGTGGAGCAAATTCCAGGAGACATACCAAATGAAGAGCTTCTGTTGTTTTCCAATATGGGGTCAGAACATGTTTCTCTCCAAACCAAGCTGTGTTAATACATGTAGAAAATTGCCAGTTAGGGAAGCTCAGCTGAGCTTTGGTGTCCAGAGATTTTCTTGGGGCTCTTTTACCTATGCATGATTGAATGACTGATTGTGTGATTCATGTCAGCCTCCAGGTCAACTGATACTGCATGACCCAAAGTCCCTACTCTTAAGTCACATTGTTAAGACTATCCAGTAGGACTAAGGCCCCCAGACAAAGATACTCCTATCAGGTATAACAGTCAAAGAGTCTGTTGATGACCTCCCAGAAGCTGAGGGCAAAGGCCAGACCTTCTCTTTTGGCAAAGCCAAATTCTTTATTACACAGAGAATGATACTTTTTGTTGTGGAAAACTTAGAAGTTACCAAAAGTATAAAGAAGAAAGCAAAAGTAATTCATAATCTTAGTATCTAGTTGATAGTTTGTTGCAATCTCTGCAATCTTATGCTTTATCCTTAAAAAAAGAAAGTTTAAACCATTATACTTGTTATATGTGATGTTTGATTTCATGTCTGTCATTTTATTTTTTCTTGTTATTTCCTTCAATTCTGATTTTGTCTCTATAGAGATTTGGATTTAACTATTTTTAATTTATCTTTTCAAAGATATGATTAAACTTGAATTAAGTTATCATAATCCCTTTTAAAGGAAATAAGAGGCTTAGCACTTTTGTCACCCTTCCTCCCCATCTGATTTTTTTCATTTAAACATGTATATAAAACCCTATATTTCATTTATTCATTCATGTTCTTGTACATTATATAGTTCATCTTTTTTCAAAGAAGAAAAAAAATAATTATTGGTAATTAGTTTATAACCAGATGTCAGGCTATCAAGTACTCTTAAGTACACACTTAATCCATTTAAGCTTACTACCACTTTATCCTTAAGTTCTTGCTTGTAACTCATGGTGCCTTAAGGAGAGTTATTGTGGTAATAAATATGTCTTCTCATTGCATGATACAGAGTATGTGCTCTCACTGTCTTATTACTGATGCTAACTTTGATCACTTGGTTAAGGTGGCTTCTGCCTGGTTTCTCTATTATAGAGTTACTGTTCTTCCGTTTCCATGTTCTATTAGAAAAGAGTCACCAAGACCAGCCCACTGTCAAGGGGAAAGGAATTAGGCTTCACCTCTTGAAGGGAGGGATATTAAATACTGTAAAGACATAATAAAACTACCACCGTAATTAATAAATACTTTGAAGAAGATACTTTGAGACTATGCAAATACCCTACTTCTCCTCAAGCTTTTGCCCAATTAATTTTTATATTAATTGGTTGGTCTTTCCTGGAGTAACTATTACTATGGTGTGATTGCCTAATGGTGATTTATTTCCCTCATTCTATGTTTAATAGGATTCTTCTGTAAGAAAGTGTTGTTTCTTCTAATCTATTTATAGGTCATTTATATGTATATGGACTTGCGACTATTTTAGTCTTTGGGTTCCTTATCTCTAAAAAAATAGCTGAAATATGATAATGCAGTTGTCTGAGTGTTTTCTTTAATGCTGGGTGTTTTTTTCTAAAATTTCAGTAGTTATTCTTCCTGCTCTAAATACTGGTTTTCTTTTTAAGGAATTCCTGTTATATGAAGATTGACTCTCCTGAAGGCATTTGTTTTATAGAAGATTTTTGAAATAAAATTTTAAAGTACCAAATTATAGCCGTTGCCATCTCTTTTTCTAATTCAGGATTATTTGTCTTATTCTTGCTTTTTCCCTTTATTTTTTTTTTGTAGACATTAAAATACATATCAAAAACACCATGCAGGCATCAGAGTCCTGAAATTGTCAGAGAATTTCTCACAGCAATGAAAAGCCACAAGTTGACCAAGTAAGTAAAAATTATCTTAAATAAAAAAGGCTGACGTGTAATGAAAGTCATAGCTTATGAAAGCCATCCTCAGCAGCCATGTATTTATTTTTTGTTGGGTTTTGAATTATAAATGATACACAGTGCTCTTTTACAGTAGGACCATGGTATTGTAGATGAGATAACTGAGATGTGGACATTGGAATCCTTCTAGAGCCAGAAATAGAACTTTAGTGGGCTTTTTAATCTCAAAAATCTTTTTTCTTTTTGAGGCCCAGTTCTGTTACCTGTCCCACAACCCATTCCCAGCATTCAGACCAAATTGGTTGAAAAATAGGATTCACAAATTAAAGTGCTTTTTATAAAGTTGATGAATTAAGTCACTTGACATTTGTGTTTGCTTAGGACAAAAGTGGCTTAGTAATATTCTGTCTGCTCTTCTAGTGCCCAGTTGATTTCTTGGTGACGTTCTTGAGTAAGTTAAGCCTGTAGGAATTAAAAACATCATTAAAAATTAGATCAAGAGTTTCCCTGAGAAAAAAAAACTAGCCGTAGTCTTCTAGAATTAATAACGGAGGTGATAAATCCAAAAAGCTTTTGTCATTCATTCAGGATAATAATTTTCTTTTGGAGGAAACATTTGGTGTTATTTCAGGCACATAGAGGAGACACTGTCAATAAACTAAGTGTCCTTCTGGCCTTGCCTCTTCATGTGAGCTCTGAAGGCAAACATGTTTCAGATGTGTGCATGTGTGAGTTTGTGTGTGTGTATGTTTATAGTTGGTTTTATTTTTGTGATAAAATACACTTAACATAGAATTTACCATCTTAACCACTTTTAAGGCTACAGTTCATTTGTATTAAGTATTCACATTGTTGTGCAGCCAATACGCAGAACTTTTGAATCTCCCAAAACAAACCGTATACCAGTTAAACCACTCCCCGTTTCCCCCTCACTGCAGCCCCTGACACCACCACTCTATTTTCTGTTTCTATGAATTTGACTACTCTATAGATCCCTGATATAAGTGGAATCATACAGTATTTGTCTTTTAAAAAAAAATGTCGAAGTATTGTTTAATACTGTTATTTTTTTATTTTAACCATTTTAAGTGTGCAATTCAGTGACATTAGGTACATTTAGTTGTTGTACAGCCATCACTGCCATCCACAGAATAATTTTTCATCATGTAAAACTAAAACTCTGTACCCATTAAACAGTGGCTCCCCATACTCTCTATCCTCTAGCCCTGGTGGAGGGCTGCTGGCCTAGAATAGGCCTGCTGGCTGCAAAGTTTCTTGGCTTGCTTTCAAATGAGAATGTTATTATATGAATGAGTTGAGTCATCTTTTTCCCCAGCACTTTAAATAAAGATGTTAGTTCAGTGTCTTCTGATTGCCATGGTTTCTGATGAGAAATCTGTGGTCATGCAAATATGTAATGTGCTGTTTTCCTCTGACTGCTTTCAATACTTTTTCTCATCTTTGGTCTTTGAAAATTTTATTATGATTTTTTATCATTGCTGTGCTTCTTGATTATGTAAATTTTTGTTTCTTACCAAATTTGTGACTTTTAGGCCATTATTTCTTAAAATATTTTTTTCTGCCCTAATCTCCTTTGCCTTTCTTTCCAGAACTCTGAAGACACAACTGTTAGAATTTTGATAATTGTTCTACAGGTCCCCAAGGCTCTTGTTTTGTTTTGTTTTGTTTTGAAGACAAGGAAATTGTATTCACGTTTCTCAATCTATATGTTCATCACTCTCAGCTCCTTGATTGGAGTGTGCCTGGCTCTGTTGACACAAAAGACTCAGGAGAAACACAAGTAGGGGCTCAGGATGTGAGGAAGGGAGTGGGGAGAAAGAAATTGACACATCACTTTTCCTCTAGATCTGCTTTGATTGTCATGGAGATAGAGGTCTCAGACCACAGAGGTTGTGTGTGTGCCTGCATAATTGTGCATTCAGTTTCAGCTGGACTGCACCTTCTCACATGCCTGTATTCTCTCTCAACCCATGGCTCCTCTGTAGATTGATTATCATTAGAGACTACAGAGTTGTGCTGTCCAGTACAGCTTTCTGCAGTGATGGAAATATTCCTTTGTTCCACACAGTTAACTTCTAGCCACATGCAGCTTTTGATCATTTGAAATGTGGCTAGTGTAACAGAGGAACTGCCTCTTTCATTTTATTTAATTTTAATTAATTTTTAAGTATTAATAGCTGTATATAGTCAGTGGCTGGAATATTGGGCAGTGCTTTTTTATAGTACCTCCCTTTGATGGACTTCATCTCACAGCCATATAAAAAATTCAAGTGGTCTTTATAAGTCCTGTGCTGAATGATTCTAAAGCTTGTTGTGCTGATCTTTTCCTGAAGGAAAAGTGAAAAGGCCATCCTCAAATTCGATGTCTCCTCAATGGCCGCCCATATACTGCTCCTCACCCTTCTGTTGTGTATGAGTGCTTCCAGTGGCATTTCAACTCTTGCATCGTTAGGCCTTTGAAACCCTAGAACTGATTGCAGGGTTGCTGGATTCCAGAAATGTCTTTCAAATCAGAGCAGCATTCTACGTGAATGGGTCCATTGGCTGGACTCTTATTTAGAGCTGACAGAGTCTAAGAATTTGAAGCCAGAGGCCTTTAGAAATCATGAGACCTAGTATTTCCCAAGTGTGGTACAGGGAATGCCATGGTGTGTGAGATGATTTTAGGTAGAACAACAGTGTACTTTGATATGCTACTTGATTTTCATTTCTTTAAACTTAACTTACGTGGTATTTTCTGTTTCCTTTGTCATTGTGATGCTACCCGTACCCACTTAGTAACATAGTCTGGGAGATGGTGTAGGGAGAGTGGATCACTTTTTTTCTTCCCCAATTTCTTTTATTGTTGGTAAAATACATATAACTTAAAATTTACTGTCTTAACCATTTAAAAATGTACAGTTCAGTGATAGTAAATACATTCATAATATGGTGTAGCCATCACTGCCATTTATCTTAATAACCGTTTTCATCTTGCAAAACTGGAATGCTATACCCACTGAACAATGACTTTCCCTTTCCTCCTCCTCTCAGCCCCTGGTTTCACGTCCTAAAGTTACGACCCTAATTTGAATTTATACTAATTTAGCCTCAGTAACATACAAAAACTCTGCTCCATATACAGCTCCATCCCCAGCCCTTTCAGTTGTTGATATAACAAAATTAAATGTTTGTTTATATGTTGTGTGCCCTAAGCAAAACAATTATTTTAGCAATCTTAAATCTTACAGAAAGCAAAAAGTAAAATTACAGATCGTTCTTACATGTGTTTTTTTAATTTGCACATGTGTTTTTTATATTTGCTCAGGTGTTTACCTTTATGAAAATCTTTTATTCTTTTTATACCTTCAAGTGACTGTCTAGTGTCCTTTCATTTCACATTGCAGAGCACTGTTGAGCATTTCTTCCAGGGCAGGTCTAGTGATAATGAACTCCCTCAGCTTTTGTTTATCTAGGAATATCTTAATTTCTCCCTCAGTTTTGAAGGACAGTTTTGCTGAATATAGCATTCTTGCTTGAGAGGTTTTTCTTTTAGCACTTTGAATATATTGGCTCACTGCTTTCTGGCCTCCAAAGTTTCTGATGAGAAATTTGCTGGTAATGTTAATGAGGAGATCCCTTGTATGTGACAGTTTTTTCTTGTTGCCTTCAAGATTCTCTTCATCTTTGTCTTTCAAAAGTTTGATTATAATGTGTCTCTTTGTGGTTCTCCGAGTTCATCTCACTTGGAATTGAGCTTCTTAGATGTTTCTATTCATGTCTTTCATCAAATTTGGGCAAGTTTTCAGCTATTACTTCTTCAGATATTCTCTCTGCTCCATTCTCCCTCTGTTTTCCTTCTGGGACTCCCAAAATGTATATGTTGGTCCACTTCATGGTATTCCACAGACCCCTTAGGTTCTGTTCACTTTCTTTCAATCTTTCTTTCTTTCTGTTCAAGTTCATTGATTCTTTGTTCTGCATGTTCAGATCTGCCTTCAAATCCCTCTAGGGTTTTTCATTTTGATTGTTGTACTTTCCAGCTCTAGAATTTCTTTTTGGTTTCTTTTTTGTTCCTGTCTCTTTATTGATATTTCTATTTTGTTGATACATTGTTTTCTTGACTTTCTTCACATCTTCCTTTAGTTCTGTGAGCATCTTTAAGACAGTTGTTTTAAAGCCTTTTGTCAAGTAGACCTGCCATCAGGTTTTTTTCAGGGACATTTTTCTGTTGATTCCATTTTTTTTCCTTTGAATAAGCCATACTTAACTGTTTCTTTGTACACATTGTGATTTCTTTGTTGAAAACTGGATATTTGATGTAATAATGCAGTAACTCTGGAAATCAGATTGTCTTCCTTGTGAAGCTTGCTGAGTTTTGTTTATTATTTGCTGTTTTTGTACTGTTATAGGCTGTTTCTCTGCCAAGGATCAGCCTGAGGTATAAACTCAGGGTCTTCTCAGGTGTTTTCTGAGCCTGCCCCTTTCCCTAAGCATGCACAGTCACTCTCTAATTTTCCCCAAACATACAGTTATATTTGAATGTCCTTAGCCTTTAGTGTCTGAGCTTTAGGGAAAAAGAAAAAAGGGTTGGGGGAGGGGGGAAGGGCTTTGGCCCTTAAAATCCTAAAAGTCACTTCAGCTGGAGGAGGTGAGACTTGCAGCCGTGGACAGAGGTGTAACAATGGCTGCAGCCCCCTTGCTTGCTCTTCTGTGATCAGAAGCAGCAATCAGTGTTGAGGGCACAGAGCCTTGATATTTGGAGGACAGAGTCCTTTTTGTCCTCCTGGCTTACACAAGCAGTGTGTAGTCTCCAGGAACATGTGTATAGCTGCCTGCCACTGGAGTTGGGGGATGGGTAGCTTCTGCTGTGCTAAGATCCAAAATTGTGGAAGTTGCAAGTCTTCAGTAGACTTCAGTGTTTCAACATAGTTAATATCACACAGACTCTGCCAGTGCAGTTGTCATCTAGATGGGGAGACAGATTTATTTTTCAG